CTATCTATCTATCTATCTATCTACCTACCTACCTACCTACCTACCTAACCTACCTACTTATCCTATCTATCTATCTATCTACTTATCATATCTATCTATCTACTTATCATATCTATCTATCTATCTATCCTACCTACTTATCATATCTATCTGTCTGTCTGTCTGTCTGTCTGTCTGTCTATCTATCTATCTATCTATCTATCTAAATCTATCCCTCCATCCAGCTATCCATTCATCTATATCTTTCTATCTGTCCCTCCATTCCTCTATCTGTCTGTCTGACTGTCTACCTACCTACCTACCTACCTATCTACCATTAACGTCCAAGTAAAGAGTGTCTCTTTATTCAGTCTGTCATTCTGAGACCCCTTTGGGGAAATACCTGGAGACCCTCCTTGCATTCAATGATCAGAGAAAGAAACAGCTTCATTACCTTTGTTGTGTTCGGTGGTAATATTCAGGAACTGTCCATCTTTGTACCAGCTGATGGTTGGCGCTGGGTAGCCATTTTTGCCTGTGCACGTGGCAATCTGAGGAAGGAAAAGAGATGGCTGCTAGAAAGACCTTAAGAAGCCCAGGGATTTCCACAGTGGGTGTGTGCAGGTGTGCAAAATCAAGATGGCACCTGCTCTTCCACAACCCCAAAGCCTTGTCGTTTTTATCAGGAATCTCACGCTTATAGAAACAGGTCAAGGCATCGACCACACAGTCTTAGCTTCTATCTTGAGTTGCTTGACCCCTGTTGCCCCCCAAAGATAGAATAGAATAGAATAAGAGAGTTGGAAGGGACCTTGGAGGTCTTCTAGTCCAACCCCCTGCTTAGGCAGGAAACCCTACACCACTTCAGACAAAGGGTTATCCAACCTCTTTTTAAAAACCTGCAGTATTGGAGCATCCACAACTTCTGGAGGCAAGTTGTGCCACTGATTAATTGTTCTAACGGTCAGGAAATTTCTCCTTAGTTCTAGGGGAACAAGCTCATTCTGTGTGTATTTTATTCATTCCACAAATAACTATAAACCGTGGGCTACCAAGATGGGCCACTTGGAACCTCTCTCTCTTTTACATAGAATTCGCAGCCCTCTGAATACAATTGCTCAAAACTTTCCAAATTAGCCATTGCAATAGAAACAAAGAATCTTTGACAGCCCCTATCCCCAAAACCAGCTGAAATTCCATTGTCTTTGTTCTCGCTTACTTTATTGCCTTCAGCCTTCTGAATTTCAAATTGTAGCCCATGTTCATTTAACACTGTCCATCTCAGCCATTAAAAACTCTTTGCAGCTCAAATAACAGTTGAAATAACTTTCCAATAATAATAATAATAATAATAATAATAATAATAATAATAATAATAATGAAAAACCTTCAGTGCTTCTCACCCTTCAAAAAAACACAACCAAAACAGGTAATCTTCCACTTATGGCCACAACTGAACTCAAAATTTCTGTCGCTAAGGGAGACGGTTGTAAAGTGAGGTTTGCCGCATTTTGCAAATATTCCTGCCCCAGTTGTTAAGTGAATCACTGCAGTAACCTGGTCATTGAGCAAATCTGACATTCCCCCATTGGGACACCGTCATAAAAATATGAATCAGTTGCCAAGCACCTGAATTTGGATCGCGTGACCACAGGGGACACTCTCGACGGTCATTAAGTGTGAAAAATGGTCATAAGGCACATTTCTCAGTGTTGTTGTAACTTCGGACTACCCCCCTACAGGAACTGCTGCAAGTCAAGGACTACTTATACTTCAAACTTGACAGCTTTAAGACTTGTGGACTTCAACTCCCAGAATTCCTGAGCTAACATGACTGGAGGAGGAATTCTGGGAGTTGAAGTCCACAAGTCTTAAAGCTCTCAAGTTTGAAGACCTCTGATCTACAGTATCTATCTTCTATCTCCATCTCTGTCTGTCTGTCTGTCTAATCCAAGGGTCTTCAACTTTGGCAAGTTTAAGACTTGTGGACTTCAACTCCCAGAATTCCTGAGCTAACATGACTGGAGAAGGAGGAATTCTGGGAGTTGAGGTCCACAAGTCTTAAAGCTGTCAAGTTTGGTTTAAAGAGAGACAAACTCACCTCCAAAGCAAGATCAGCGGTCACAGAGAGAGTCCCCGGGTTCCGTGTAAGCTCAGGGGGTTCTGGTGGATCTATAAAGAGAGAGGATCGGTCAGAGAGAGAGACAGAGAGTGGGCAAGAGAGGTGACAGGCCTGTTAGTTAAGCCACAGCCTCCCGAGGTGGCAAAATTGCTTCCTCCATTAAAATACAGATGTTCCTCCACTTAGGACCAAAACTGCAAACAGAACCTCCATTGCAAAGCAAGATCGTTTAGGGTTAGAGGGCTCCCTCCCCCAAAACTCTTAGTTGCTTAATCATCACTGCTGCGGTTTGTAGTTATTTATTTTGTGGAGGGTTTTTATGGTTTTAATTTTTTTTTTAAATGGCTTTAATTGTTTTACAAGTTTAGAATTGTAAGTCATGTGGTTGTGTTCGGTGGAGGGAGGGAGGGAGGAAAGGAAGGGATGGAGGGAGGGAGGGAAAGGAAGGAAGGAGAGATAAAGAGGAAGGAAGGAAGGAAGGAAGGAAGGAAGGAAGGAAGGAAGGAAGGAAGGAAGAAAGAAAGAAAGAAAGAAAGAAAGAAAGAAAGAAAGAAAGAAAGAAAGAAAGAAAGAAAGAAAGAAAGAAAGAAAGAAAGAGGGTGGAGAGAGGGAAGAAAGAAAGGAGGGAGTGAGGAAGGAAAGAAAGAAAGGAAGAACAAAAGGAAGGAAGGAAGGAAGGAAGGAAGGAAGGAAGGAAG